AGGCTGCAGGCTGCCAAGAGTATTGTTGCATTGTACCAGGTTTCATATGCTATTGGTGTGCCTGAGCCGTGTCTGTATTTGTGGACCACGTACGGTACTGGTAAATACCAGACAGAGAGATTCTCAAGATAGTGAAGAAGGAGTTTGATTTCAGGCCTGGTATGATCTATCTATCTATTAACCTGGATCTTAAGAGGATCTGGTCGAAGGTTCTTCACACTGCTGCTTATGGCCATTTTGCTAGCTAGGGATGACCCTGATTATAAGCCTCTCAACTGGGACAACCCTCAACCTTGATCACCATTATCATAAGATGTTGGCTTGCAATCAATAATCATAGCAAACACAGAACTTTAAATGGAAATAAAATAAATGGAACAGCAAATTAACTAATATAATATTTCCATTTCCATTGTCTATATATACACTGGAATGATTTTAATTCACCATTTGCTATACTAATAGATAGACATAATCGAATAAGCTGAGCTGTTTTATTAATAAACCATCTATCTCCTCCATAACAGGTTTATTCAGGCTGGGTAAATGCAGTTGCCAACAGCTGCATGCAAAGGAAATCATTTCATTATTAACAAAAATTAAACTTGGTTGTGTGTTTGTGTGTGCAAAAAAGATTAGATCATATAAATGAGATGACTTACAAGGATCCTGAGTAACAATGAGACCGGTTCGATTAAAGTCACAGGTGAAACCTAGTTTTCCATTGAGTTTGTAGAATATGTTCATTACAACAGATGCATCAGATATCTTGTTTGGTGGAAGATAACAGTTTCCACCTGCCTGGATTACTCCACAATCAACTCCTTTTTGTGTACAGCAGAATTCTATTATATCGTCCAGCTTTTCTTGCGATGTTGATGGCTTCGCTATGCACCACGTCGTACCATTCCCATTCCCATTCCCCTTTTTTTTTCCAATTAAATTATCATCATAGATTAATAATTACCGGTTGCATGAAAACTATATATATATATATATATATATATATATATATATATATATATTCGTATAATACGTACCTGGTTGGGAATAGCGGGTTTAGATCTTCTGCCTCTTGAATGCTGCTGAGGTCCTCCTCCTATCTTCTGGTTGCTGCGGCGTTTTAATATAAACATGAATGATGATTAATAATGAATCAAATTAAGGCAACAATTGTAATGTAGCGATAGAAAATGTTATTACATACGTACCTTTCTCCTATGTTGTGGTGGTGGTGGTGTTCATTTGGTATATCATGATGAGTTGCAAGTAAATTTGCTGCGGTGTTGACCAAAAGGTGTCGTTGAACCTACAGTTGTAACAGTACAAGTTGTAGTAACAGAGTTGTCCTTGACTTGAAGAAGAAGAAGATATGTATGTATATACAATTGTACCTGTTTCCCTTGAACAGCAAAGACAGTCCATCCTGCAAAACATAGGAAACAAACAAGACAGACGGATCGTGCGCCCTTATTACCCCCCATCTTTCAAGTTGGACTTGGATCGATATATGTTTAACAGGTCTTGCTTGGGAACTTGTTTATATAGAGAGAAAGATATAAAGGAGTCGTAGTTAATGTAAGAATAAAAAGATGTATGTGATCAAGAATGGATAACTGATGGTAACAACTAACAACTAAATAATTATTAGAAATGATTTTTTGGCAGGCTACATCCTATGAAACTATAATATTTAAGGAAAAGAGAGACTTTATGAATATCATCATATCACCACCTTATAAATGTGTTGTCTGTACCATCAGTCAGATTCATAGATGACTGGTTTTCTTTTGAACCTTGCTTGCTTGCTTCACTTTATAATGAATGAGTGCTCTTTTTTAATACCATTATATATTTTGTCTTTTTAAAGTAAAGCAGATTTCAGAAATCAAATTTCTTTTTCTCTATACCTTGTGTGTTCAATTTTCAGCAGAGGTTTGACAAAATATCAAACACTATTTCTATATCTAGTATTTCTTTACCTTTACGTTCTACACAAAAGATTCATACATTGCTTTTCCTTGTTACTAATTCATGGCAACTTATTGTTTTTGTTTTTGTTTTAATTTATATTTATTACATCACTCGACGACACCCCTTCAATAATATATGAATTAGTAATTGAAACAATAATATAAAAAAAAAAAAAGACAGGTAATAATAAGTTAATTAATCAAAAGCCACAATTAATTTATATATCATCATCAGTTAACCAACAAAACATGTACAATTAATTCATAATACTACTGAGAGCCATACTTCAATTGGTCCCATCTGAAAGGGCGGAAAGAAAAGAGAACCTCAGGTGAGCTTTTGAAGAGCAAAGCAGTGCACACACATACGGCAGCGATTCCTACCAATGAAAGCATTGCCGGTCTGTATATTCTCACTCTACCTCTCGTTGACCTATTTCCATATCTCATTATTCTCTCCTCGCATTCCCCACACCTTCGTCTTCTCCTCTCTATTTCCATTTTCTTGTCCACCGATACCGATAATACTACTTCTCCTCTACTACTACTACTATCTCCAATATCAACACCAACACCAACAACTGTTGATTTCTTGTCCACTTTCCTCTGAACAATATTTATGTACGAGTACTGCCCACGTATACATGCATAGTCATGCGCTGTTAATACACTACTGTCTCTACCCCTCTTCCATTCTTCAATTCCCACCTTTTACAATATTCAATAATAATAATTTAATCATTACTTAGGACATATATAAAAAGATTATGAATAAGAGAAACAGAGCAGCTTACCGATCCAGGATCTTCAGTTAATGCATCCAATACATTCTCACATCCGTCCAGACTGGCTGCTATATGAAGGGGAGTCAATCCACCTGGTCCCGCAGCATCCGGCCTGAACAAGTATAAGTGGGCCCCACCCCCGCCATCCGCAAGTGGATTCTTTTCGTTTAGTAGAAATCTAACCATGGAGCTGCACTTCCTTCTCACAGCTCGGTGAACAAGGCCAACGTCATTAAGCAGTGCCACTATATTCGAATTATGTGGTCCCAAATCCACAGTCCCATCATCGAACAGAATCCTCAACAGCTTTTTTACTACAGCGCACCAGTCATGGTCGATGGAGAACTCAGTAAGCCGCCTGAAGCGTTCAAATGGGAATAGATCCCCGTCACCTAACCTAGACTTGAGGCGATTTCTCTGTAGAAGCCACCCCATTTCGTGTATAAAGTCCAATGCTTCATTCCTAACTTGTATCTCGTTTGCATCTTCAATTACGCTTTCTAGACTACATATTTCAGAGCAGACATCTTTCTCTGCCACAATGAACGGAAAGAAGCTGCTGCTCAGACCATGGTCTTCAATCTAATAACAAATTCAGTGCTTCGAGAGTGAGGAATGACAAGATAATATTTAGTACTAATTACTAAACAAACAAGTAGAAAATGGGCATCACCTCTATAAAACCCCTTCCAACAATATTTGGTACAGCACAAGAGAAGGTCAAGGACTGAATCTGATCGTGCTCGGTCAACGAATCTGCTCTTCCTGTCATATCAGCACAATTTTCCTGAACTAGATACTTCCCTTCTAGTGCGCATAGTAACCTGACAGAAATGCTATTATTATTACTACTCAATATTGATGGAATTAATCTGAATGAAACCAAGAGAGAGAGTGATGCATGTATGATCTTCAAAACAAGAATATTCACCTTGAAGTAGAACGAGACAAATTGAATCCTTTGACTACAAAATGAACACCCTCGGAAACAGTGACAGCGATTGGCTTGATACTTGATATTCTGCAACTTTGATGATTTCGCACAGGTAAGGGTGTGTCTAAAACAACCTGGCCTGCAGCATCACAAAAACTATCAGCCTTACAGCTTGTGAAGGCGTAATTCTATGAGAGAGGCGTTGAAAGGAAAGGAAATATAGAATGGAATATTAGAATGTACCATTATACATAAATGTGACATGATGGTGTACTCGAGTGTATATCCATCCTGTTCTCCAAAACGAGTCAGTAGATGAATTGAGAAGCCTCAGCAAACTTGAAGTCAGATTGCAGTAAAGCTGCAAACACAATAATCATAATAATCAGAAATCATATACTTAAAAGAAACAAAAAAAGAAAAGAAAAAGAAACTGAGAGTATGAAAAGAGCGGTCTAGTAACAAAACATATTTCATGTGATGAACCAAACACACCTCATCCCAACTGGATTTTTCCATACGTAAATATATCGTCAATATAATGCAACCAGGTCGGATGTAGCTTTCTATGTCCGTTGGACTATTTGATAGCCAATCAAGAATCTGAATCAAATTGGACAAAAAACAAACTATTAAAGAGGCAATGCACAAAAAGAAAAGCCAAAAGGAAAATGTTTAATCTCAAAATCAGGAGCCATACCTGTTTTCGCAGGAGAAGAGGGAAATCGCTTGGATCTTTCCCAAAAAGTTTGAAGACAATTCTATCTGTCCGACTCTGCAAATCAATTGGAAATCTAGTCACAACAAAAGGACTAGTCTAACAAGAATTTAAGTATAAATGCTTTTATCCGACAATCTCTATCAAGGATTTGATTTGCTACATGAGGAATGAGTTTGAACCTGTGCCTCTCCGCTGGATGTAGATGGTGACTGGCTAGATGTAGAAGCTGAATTGCCACTATTCTGAGGTGGGCCACACCGTTGAGAATCCTTACATAACCACGATGATCCACCAGGAGATGTTTTGTTAAGATGTGAAGTATTGGGCATATCCTCCATGCAATCTTGAGAACCATCATATGCACAGTTTAAGTCAATGTTACTTAGTTTTGTCCTCCCTACTCCAGTATTTGAATCTTTTTCTTTGAATAAGTCGCTTGATGTTGTTCGAAATGGTAAAGGAGATTCTGAAGTGGATGCATGTGATACTCCACCTATTAGCGTCCTCTTCTCTGTCAAATCAGATGCAGGTATGGTCACACCTGGCCCAGAAGGCGCACTAAGTCCCTGCAGATTAAACATCTTTAGAAGACAAATAAGAAACTCAAAGACAAATTTAGAAATTTATGACCTATATTAGAACCTTCAGAGCAGTGCCTAAGGAAGTCCCCACATTCTGAGATATAGGTAAAACTCCAGCAGGATTTGTCCCGGTGAGATGTGCAAGGTTTTTTAGCAGATGAGACACAAGGTCCTGATCTTGTATTTGATCAGAGCTGTTCGCTGCAATTGATAAATATGAGATATAATGTACGTAACCTAAATCACGATAAAAAGCACAGAGCTAAAGCAAGAAAACAAGGAATGTAGAAGGAGAAATTTGGAGGAAAGTGCACAAAAGGAGATGTTTACTTAAGACTATTAAATAAACCTTCTTCATCATTCAGCTTCTATATTTCTCAAAAACAACTTGCTTTTGCACCATTCTAAGTTCTAACTAAACAAGATTATTTTGGCCGCAGTGAGATTCAAGCTTTAGGAATGCTGAAAGTGAAACTCTATCCTTAAAAAAACGTGACCTTTCCTTCATAATAAAACTTTCAATAGGAAAATGAGCTCATACAGACATCACGTATATCGTGACAACATTGCACATATCAACAATGTAAACACCAAATGCAAAAAAAAAAAAACAATGACAGTAAACAAACGATGTCCTACAGCTAATTAGAACATAGTGATTCAAAAAATGAAAAGAAAACCCGTAAGATGGCTACTACTTACAGTGTATATTGGAGAGTATCCTTAGGAGACTGATAAGTAAGTAATTAGTACCCGGCTCATCATTCTCAGGATGTGTTTTTCTCCGCCTTTTGTTGTGGCCTGCTAGACGCCTGCGACAACTCCTCTTCCCTTCATCAAACTCTTGAAGAACATGAAACCTGTAAACAAAATATTATTCCACTAGGAAACCATTAGGGAATTTTTTTACAAAGAATATATCAAGATGAATAAGTGACCACCTGCTGCACTGCTGACAAAACCTCTGCATAACATCTCCCACTAAAGCACTGGTAGACTTGGAGTGAAGATCACATACTTTATGCCTTCGGTGATAATCTTTGGCATTGCTCAAATCAGCTCTGCAATCCTCTACTTGACAAACAGAACGACTAGACGTAGACATAGGCAGAGCACTTGAAACTTTGGTCTTCTTCCCACTCTTGCCTTCCATTTCATACATATCCCTTTCGGCGATAGGGTACACTTGTCCACCTAGCTTTAGATTAGGTAATCCCACATCTTCACTTTCATTTTCTTCCATCTCCAAAACTCCCCTTGTTCGTTTCTCCAATTCCCTCTTCTCCCTCCCATTCCCATTCCCATCACCCAACAACACTAGTTCATCTGATCCAAGCTGTCTACTCCTACAATCCGATGGCACAGAATTGAGAGGAGTAGCAACAAATAAAGCACCGTCCCATCTCCATTCATTTGAATCCCATTCCATACTCTTATGAATCTTTTCACCACCAATCTTACTCTCCATTTTCAAATAATTTTAGATAGATAGCGTTTCTGAAGAATCAGGCCAAAAGTAATCATAAAAAACATACACCGACACATCCACGGATCAGACAAGATTCATTAACCCATATGCGAAA